CCTGCTGACCCAGCCCCTCTCTGCTCGGCAGGCAGCGTCATCACCATTTCGGGGCGCATGACCTTCACGAGCAATAAATCCATGGAAATTGAAGTCTTTGTGGATGCCGACCCATTCGTGGATGAGCCTCGGGAGCGGTACCGTGCCGTCAGCGCCTTCTTCACCTACGTCTCCCTGAGCAAGGAGGGGAAGCCCCTACCTGTCCCGCAGCTGCTGGTAAGAGCTCTCCCTGCAGCGTCATCACCATTTCGGGGCGCATGACCTTCACGAGCAATAAATCCATGGAAATTGAAGTCTTTGTGGATGCCGACCCATTCGTGGATGAGCCTCGGGAGCGGTACCGTGCCGTCAGCGCCTTCTTCACCTACGTCTCCCTGAGCAAGGAGGGGAAGCCCCTACCTGTCCCGCAGCTGCTGGTAAGAGCTCTCCCTGCTGCAAGCCAGCTGGGCCAGCCCCTCTCCTCCTCCTGCTTCTCCCGAGGCAGATCCCAGCTGCCTTTTATATCCAAGAAATCTTCTTCCCTTGAATTATTCAGCAGAAAAATATAAGCATGAACAAGTCCTTCCAGAGCAGGCTTCAGAGTTTTTGTTGGTTTTGTTTTTTGTTTTTTGTTTTTTTAAAAATATCTTCTGAAAATTGCTGATATGGAGTTTGGGGATTTTAGCCTTTCTTGCAGTTAAGGACAGGCTCCGGGCAGGCTCTGCAAGTTCCCCCCTGCCCATGCTAGAGACACACAGGAGGGGACTCTGAGCGGTGACGGAGGCCCCCGCGTCCCCCATCCCTCCTCCCCATGGCATCCCTGCTCCAGCCCTCCTGCCTATTTTTAGCTGTCCTGATCCTGGCAGGACTTTGCTGATGTGGCGCTGATCGCTGGGGACTGTTTCTTGATTAATATTTTACCCCACACAGGTGTCTTCCTGCTCTGTGCAGGAGTACATTAGCTGTTGAAACATGTATTTCATGGAGCGCGGGTTTTCCTTTACATTTCTTGTAAGAGAAGGCGCGTTTCCTTCCTGCACACGCTTGCAACGTGCAGCGTGGGAGAGCTGCGCTGCCCCAAGGCAGTTAACGCTGGTGGCTTTGCTTTCTTTCTGTTTCTGGCAGACGGAGACGGAGGATGAGAAGCGGCGCTTCGAGGAAGGGAAGGGCAGGTACCTCCAGACGAAAGCCAAGCGGCAGGCGCAGATGCAACAGGCTGCCCGGCAGTGATCCCATCCCATGCCTCCCTGCGCTCTTGCAGCCTTCACCTGCCAAATGTCCAGGTTCCCGTTAGTGTCATGTCCTGTCCGCGCCAGGCCTCGCGCCTTTGCCCGCCCCAGCCTGCCACTAGAGCTGCCGCGGCGGTGCCGTTGCTTCACTGCTGATCGGTTTAGTGCCGTAGACCTTGTGCTTTAGGTGGGTTAAGCACCCCAAAAGCCTCCAAGAGCCTTCCCGGTCGCTCGCCATTCACCTCTGGAGCCCTGTTTTCAGAGTTTAATCCAGTAAGCGAAGCTCCCACCCGTGCTGGAGCAGGGCAGGGGCGCGTGGCAGCACGAGGACCGCGCGAGGCCACAAGTCTTTGTGATGCTGTGTTAATTTGCCAGTACGTCCTAAAACTGCACACCAAAGCTTACGTACGATACTGGTGACGAGAAACATGCCCTGGTATCGTACTGAATGTCTCGGACTGTTTTGTTGACATCTCTAGGTAGTTTCTTTGTGCACATCTAAGTTATTTAAGGAATCCTGTGGCATAAATAAAGTCTGTTGTTGTTGACTGAACTAAAATGGGTGTAGCTTTTTTTTTATCTCAAGCAGCAGCAATTCCAGCTCAGCAGCTTTATTCAAAAAAATTGCGCTGCTTTCCCTGTCCTGCCTTTCTCCCCTGGATCTTCCCAGTGTCTTTGAGCAGCACAGTGGGCTCCTATCCTTGTTTTTAAAAAAATCTGCCTCTTTTAATGGGAATCTCAGAACAGCTGCCA